TAGTAAATTCTCATTCTTAGAGGCTAAGTAAAACAAAAAAGTAAAATAAAAACAACTATTCTAAACCACTTTCACAAGAAATCGTGGTTGCATTTATAGCACATGTAATCAGGCCTTTAATCCCCTAAGTTACCCCTCATGGACGAGTTCCAGAGATGTTACCCACAAACATCCAAAAATTTCTTTACTCAAAAGGATTTCTTTCGTTCTCATGGTAAAGTTAAAGAACCTTAACAAGATAATCAATTCAAGTTTAACACACTAGCAGCAAATAAAGATATCTTATGACAGACGCAACCTTGGCCTCAAAGTGAAATATAACCCAAATCTCTTTCCAAAACATGCTTCAACTCCAATCTCACTAGTTATTGCACTCAACAAATAAATCACTCAAAATATGATGTAAAAATTACTTTCAATATATGCGCGTAGAATAATGTAAATCAAAGGCAAAATATCTCACATACTATTTTTTTTTTTGAAAACGCTAATAAAAGAATAAATAAATAGTTCTATGAATGGAATATCAAATACTGAGAATTAAAATTATCACACTATCACCCCTATCCATCATGTCCACCTCTAAACCATAGCACTCCCAAGATCAAGTAGGACTTTTTATTTGGTTGTAATGTATAGGTTGAGGAATTGTGAAAAAATGAAATAAAAAGGTAAAGGTGAATATAAAAAATGGATGTTTGAGAGATAATTGGTATGAAAATAAACACAATTAGAGCATTATTCCAAATCTTGCTCTTTCTATAAACACAAGATCCTTGTGAGTAAAAAGGTATATACATTATATAGAGGGGTAGAAAATTAAAATAAAAATTACCATCTTGTTGCGCTGAATTTGAGCAGCCTGAGGTCCATGTATAGCAATATATAACCAATTGCACTATTTTTGTTTCTTCATAGAGTAACTGAAAAGGGCGTCATTTCAATACATTATGTAAACAAAAACATAAATGAATTGCAGTAAATCATAGTGAATTGCAAATTGAATTGTACGATTCACTCAATTCTCAATTCAATAGCACAATTCAAATCATTTTAGTTGAAACTCAAATTAAATTGTATGAAACGAATCATGAATCATACAATTTTAACACCATACTAGTTGGAACATGTGGAAGCCGGGTCAACAGAATAATTTTGATCAGTTACTCAGTAATTACAATATCCATTTGCAAGAAATTGTAGCAATGTAAAGGAAGGAATTCTTGAGTGACAACTAAGAATAAAAAATACCTGGTTGTTGACTCTACTAGCTGGACTGCTGGTGCTGCATGCCCTGTTGGTGCAAGAGGCAAGACAAGCTTTGCTTCCAGATCAGGTTGAAGATATGCAAGCACCCCATCACCTTCTGTCTCCATGCCTATGTCAGCTTCTAAAGACTCAAGCTTTGCATCACAACATCGAACAGGACAAATGAAAAAAGAACTAAAAAAAACTAACGCCCAATTTAGTCTATGTTTCTAAGCAATGGCAGCAATGTAAGTGAAGGAATTCCTGAGTCATAACTCTGATTAAAATGTACCTAGTTGTTGACTCCGCCAGCCGGACTACTGGTGCTGCATACCTTGTTGGTGTTTGAGGCAAGACGAGCTCTGCATCCAGAGTAGGTTGAGGATATGCAGGCACCTCATCACCTTTTGTCTCCATGCCTATGTGCTCCAAAGACCTAATCTACCGTAAAATATATTGAAAATTATGTTTTGCAGACGCTTGGGCTGGTAAGAAGGAAAACTTGGGTGATATAAACTACTTTCTTTCTACATATATGACCAAGATGTCCTAGAATAAACTGTAGCGATTACTATCACTTGGGGTGTCAAGTCAAAAGAGATCGTTGTAGTACACTTTTGTTTGCTTAATGATACTTCACATTTTTTCCCAAAGAAAAATATAAACAAATCCATTAACATATTTCCATTTTCTGGTAACTGTAAGTGTTAGTGTCTATGCCATCCATAACACACCATGATATCAGCCCTATTCTATTGTCATCCATGACATCAACCCTATTCTATGATGTCATCCATGACATCATCCCCTATCCTAATGTTATCCATGACATCAACACTATTTTATGATGTAATCCATCACATAAGCCCTGATCTACTTTGGCTTATATATAAGCTATTTCATCTCATTGTAAAACACAATTCTACATAACAATAAAATCTTCTCTCTCTCTCTCTTCTTCTTATGACATCATCCCCTATCCTAATGTTATCCATGACATCAACCCTATTTTATGATGTAATCCATCACATAAGCCCTGATCTGCTTTGGCTTATATATAAGCTATTTCATCTCATTGTAAAACACAATTCTACATAACAAAAATCTTCTCTCTCTCTCTCTCTTCTTCTTCGTCATCTATATTTTTGACATGGTATCAGAGCCATATCTTCCTCCTGTTTTTGGTTGATTTTTTCTCTTCCTCCCTAGTCCTTGGAAGTTGACTGGTGCATTGTTGGCCTTTGCAATTTGTGTTTTGCAGTTTTTGTGGGACTTCTCTCCTTGAATGACTGATTTGGCTCATATAAGTGTTGTCCCAATAGTGTTTTCTTAGGCCTAGCTTTGTTTTTTGGGCTTTACAGGTAACATACTGGTCCTGAGTTTGTTTTTTTAGACTTGTTTCTATTTGTTTGGGTTGTCCCTGTTGTGTGGTTTTAATTTCAATGGCTGAGGTGAGAATAAGGATCCTTTGGTCAATGCAGACTATAGGCAGCATCGTGTTGTGACTTTTAACGATAGCCCATCTCTTCAAATCAATCCTGTGAAACTTGATGACACCAACTACCTGATTTGGTCCCGCTCCTGTAGTCTTGCTATTGTTGCTCACCAGCTGACTGGTTATATTACCAGTGATCTTCCTCAGCCTACCTATGATGATCCTTTGCATACTCAATGGGTGTCTGAGAATGCCTTGGTTATGACTTGGCTCATTAACTCTATGCAGCCTACAATTAGTAGGTCTTTTCTTTTACTGGATACTACTTATAATCCATTTGCAAGAAATTGTAGCAATGTAAATGAAGGAATTCTTGAGTGACAACTGAGAATAAAAAATACCTGGTTGTTGACTCTACTAGCTGGACTGCTGGTGCTGCATGCCCTGTTGGTGCAAGAGGCAAGACAAGCTTTGCTTCCAGATCAGGTTGAAGATATGCAAGCACCCCATCACCTTCTGTCTCCATGCCTATGTCAGCTTCCAAAGACTCAAGCTTTGCATCACAACATCGAACAGGACAAATGAAAAAAGAACTAAAAAAAACTAACGCCCAATTTAGTCTATGTTTCTAAGCAATGGCAGCAATGTAAGTGAAGGAATTCCTGAGTCATAACTCTGATTAAAATGTACCTAGTTGTTGACTCCGCCAGCCGGACTACTGGTGCTGCATACCTTGTTGGTGTTTGAGGCAAGACGAGCTCTGCATCCAGATTAGGTTGAGGATATGCAGGCACCTCATCACCTTTTGTCCCCATGCCTATGTGCTCCAAAGACCTAATCTACCGTAAAATATATTGAAAATTATGTTTTGCAGACGCTTGGGCTGGTAAGAAGGAAAACTTGGGTGATATAAACTACTTTCTTTCTACATATATGACTAAGATGTCCTAGAATAAACTGTAGCGATTACTATCACTTGGGGTGTCAAGTCAAAAGAGATCTTTGTAGTACACTTTTGTTTGCTATGATACTTCACATTTTTTCCCAAAGAAAAATATAAACAAATCCATTAACATATTTCCATTTTCTGGTAACTGTAAGTGTTAGTGTCTATGCCATCCATAACACACCATGATATCAGCCCTATTCTATTGTCATCCATGACATCAACCCTATTCTATGATGTCATCCATGACATCATCCCCTATCCTAATGTTATCCATGACATCAACCCTATTTTATGATGTAATCCATCACATAAGCCCTGATCTACTTTGGCTTATATATAAGCTATTTCATCTCATTGTAAAACACAATTCTACATATCAATAAAATCTTCTCTCTCTCTCTCTCTCCCTTCTTCTTCTTCTTCTTCTTCTTCTTCTTCTTTTTCTTCTTCATACATTTGTCAATAACCTATAAGATGGTTTTGTACCAAGAAACTTTCTCCATTGTGCTCAAAATTGATGTCCAATTATGTCGCATACACACGAACAAGAAACACATACACGATGTAATATAGACACACGCAAACCTTAAAAAAGGGGGCCACGGATAGAGACATGGAAACATATTATATATAATATAACTTTTACGCATTATATAAAAAAAACATTTGATTTGATCAATTATATAATTCTACTTAATATAGAAAAACATGAAAAAAAGCTCCAAAAATATCATCTATGTAATGACTTTCATTACTTGCTTTCTCACTACATTTTTTTTAACTCTTTGTTACATTATTATTTCCCTATGTATTTTATAAGTATATATTATTTCCCTATGTTAGAAGTTACCAATGCATATTTGACTTCATGTTGATCAAGCATATGGTGCATTCTTCTTAGAAATGTTTCCAGATGCATGAGTGGCATTCCTAAGAATTCTAACATTGTTCTTTGTTGAAGAGTGTTAAAGAAGTGATGTCAAATTGTTAAAAATGTATATCACCGAATGGTCTAAAATTAAGAATTTTTATTTTTAAATTATAACACATAATTGTGGGACACGTCACCAACAGTGTCGTAAAATGTCAGTATTTGACAGACACAGCTCCTTGTTAGAAGTGTTCATTCTACTTGAGTATCTCACTAGTCAATTATTGAACTAGTGTACCACTTATAAGCAGACTATCAGTCAGAATGAAACAGAGCAGACTATTAATGGTAACAGAATGAAACAGCGCTAATTATTAATGATACATCTCCAGTAGTTATCAACAATCAGCTGGTCTTATAATAATCACAATCAAATGCAATTGTTGAATCATGAGAGTGCTTGGTTAAAACGTTACATGATCATACCTTGGATTTTGTCAAGGGTATTGTATCATGTGAAAATTTGCACTTGTCACCCTGTGCAACAAAAAGAACAAAATAAAAGCAGTGTCATCAGTATGCATATAAGTGAGACTTCTAAGCAATTGAAACCTCCATCCTAAAATTAGACAAGACAAGAAAGACAGAACATAGATTACTATTACAACCTCTTGGCATCTTCCCTTCATATAATGACGGCAATATGTCACTGTTTTTGGTTTCAATACTGGTTGGATTTTTAACCTTTTAACACCAAGACGTCTATTCTTTTCTGCTCGTTTGATTCTTTCCTTTTGCTGCAATAAGCAAATTAGATAAATTAGTTAAGCCCAGAAAAAAAGATGTAATATAGATTGAAACTGTACATGGCAACTATAATAGTATTGATCAACACTGAACTTGGTGTGTGATGTGTAAAATAAATATTCAAAGCATCATAAAGTACCGCATTTATTAAATGTAAGGGAATAATTTACTTTGGGGACTTATGTCACTTTGCACCTAAACTATCAATTTTAACAATTAACGCCTTAAACTGTAAAAAATTGTTTTACTTTGCAATAATTGTCATTGTGTTACATTGTTTGAAGAAAAATTTCACTTTGTACCTCAAACTATCATGTGTCAATTTAGTCCTTTAACCTAAGTGTTAAAACCTATCACCTACTTCACCCACTTAAACCTACTCCACTAAACCTAACCCACTAAATCCACATACTCTCTGACTTACACACTCTCAGGTGTTTGATGGCTCAGCTTGATTCTATATCTACCGCAGTTCCTTCGATTCTTGCTTCTTCAAATTTTGCCTACACAAGTACTCTTGCTAATGCTCTTAGTACATCTTTGTCGCTTTCTTGGATTATTGATTATGGTGCTACAGACCACATGATAGGTGCCTTTAGTCTTTTCTCTACTTATTCTCCTTGTTTTGGGCGGGATAAGATTAAAGTGGCTGATGACACTTTATCTTCTGTCTCCGGCAAGGGTTCTGTTCATTGCTCATATTTACTTTCTTTTTTCTCTGTGCTTCTTGTTCCTAATTTTTCTACCAACTTGCTTTCTATTAGTAGCCTTACTACTTCCCTAAACTGCTCAATGACATTTTTTCCTACTCATTGTGTCTTTCAGGAACTGGCTATAGGAAAACGATTGGCAGTGAAGTATATGGTGGATTGTACTTTCTGGATATTGTTCCTCCTCCATTACAATTGCCCAACACTCACGTTCTTCAGTGCACTACTGGTTCTCTTCTTCCCCTCCTTCATCAATGGTATTGTCATTTAGGTCATGCATCCCTTAGTATTTTAGAAAGACTTTTTCCTTCCTTAGTTCGAGATTGTTCTAGGAACACTTTTGTTTGTGATGCTTGTAAACTTGCTAAGCATAAACGTACTTGTTATCCTTCAGTTAATAAAAGAAGTACCTTCCCTTTTATGTCTGTTCATACTGATGTGTGGGGGGCCTTCTCCCGTAGGGTCTACTTCTCGATATCATTGGTTTGTCACTTTTATTGATTGTTATTCATGTGTGACTTAGGTTTATCTTCTTCGAACTAAAAGTAAGGTTTTTTCTTATTTTCGCCCTTTTCATAAAATGGTACGCAATCTCTTCAAAATGCTACCATTAAAATTCGTCAGAGTGATAACGGGACTGAGTATGTTGATGGGGGTTTCCGAGTTGCTAAACGCAAGAATGACCATCTTCTTGAAGTTACTCGATCCCTTTTGTTTATCATGAAAGTTCCTAAGTCTTTTTGTGATGATGTTGTTCTTACTGATGCTTATCTCATCAATCATATGCCTTCTAGTGTCCTCCAATTCCAAATTCCTCTTGCATTTCTTCCTGTGACTTATCCTACGTCTTCCCTTCCCCCTCAGGTTTTTGGGTGTGTCTGTTTTGTTCATTTACAACCTCGTACTCTTGGAAAGCTTGATCCTAAAGTTGTGCGTTGTGCCTTTGTTGGCTATTCTGCTACTCAGAAGGATTACAAATGCTATGATCCTCACACTCACAAAGTATATGTTATTATGGATGTCATCTTCTGTGAATCTAAGTTCTTTTTTATATCTTCTCCGCCGTATCCTTGGGGGAAGAGTAGTGTTATGGATGAGATGATGTCATATCAGCATGAGTTATCTTTTTTCACTCCTAGTTAGTGAGCTATTATTTGTGGTAAGGGGAAGCCTGAGAGTGGTTTTGGTGTTGAGCCTGACATTAGGGGTCATTTGGACAAGGTTGATTTTAAGACTTGTTCATGATGCCAGAAAGAGCAGCCATCCCTTGTGCCACCAAGTCAATCATCATCCCTCGTGTCGGTTCCAGATCCTGTTTCCACTGATTCTACACCTCATTCTATTTCTTCATTAGTAGTTGACAATCCTGTTATTCATGATTGACTCTTCCTATTGCTATTAGAAATGGGGTTAAGGCTTGTACTCAACACGCTATTTCTAAATTTGTGTCCTATAATTCATTGTCTCCTGTGTATATCGTGCTTTTGTTTCGTCTCTATCTTCTGTGTGTATCCCACGAGGTTGGAAAGAAGCTGTTAATCCTAAGTGGAAAGGAGCTATGGTAGAAGAGATGCAAGCCCTAAGCAAGAATAATACATGGGAGTTAGTCTCTCTTCCAAGTGGAAAAAAATCAGTGGGATGTAAGTGGGTGTTCACCATTAAGCAGAAGGCAAATAAGACAAACAAAACTAGCGGCCAAGGGATATGCTCAGACATATGGAATGGATTATCAAGAAACCTTTGCTCCTGTAGCAAAGATGAATTTCATTCAAGTCATTCTTTCATGTGCAGCTAACTTGGGGTGGCCTTTGCAATAGCTAGATATGAAGAATGCCTTTCTTCATAGGGATTTAGAGGAAGAGGTTTATATGGATGTGCCGCCAAGATTCTTCTCTCAGTCTACAGTTGGGAAAGTCTACAGGTTGAATAAAGTGTTATATGGTTTGAAACAGTCTCCTCGGGCCAAGTTTGATAGATTTCTGAAAGCAATATTGAGGTTTAGGTATAAGCAAAGCAATGCAGATCATACTATGTTTGCCAAATGCAATGCAAATAAGGTAACTGTGCTTATTGTATATGTGGATGATATAGTTGTGACAGAGAATGATAAAGATGATATGACACATCTGAAGATGTAGTTGGCCAAGGAGTTTGAGATCAAAGATCTCAGCCCATTGAGGTACTTTCTTGGAATTCAAGTTGCCAGATTTGACAAAGGCATCTTTATTTCTCAAAGGAAGTGCATTCTAGATCTTCTTGAAGAAATAGGCATGTTAGGCTATAAACTAGCTGATTCACCTATTGAGGTTAACCTGTGAGAAAATTAGGTATATGTACATATGGTAGTATATATATTCTGTATATATTAGGGATTGAGCATATAATTTTGTTTCCTTTCTTAGTTCTAGGGTTTGGATTGTTATATACACTGATGTATTCTTGTATAAAAAACACAACGGAATGTACGAATTCTCTCAGAAAACTTACATGGTATCAGAGCTTGGTTAAAAACCCTAGGTTTGACATCAACCCATCAGGTTCAAAGTTGATCTGTCAACCCGTCTAGTTCGATCAATTCATTTCTCTCTCTCTCTCTCTCGAACTCAACTGGTTCTCTTGTCTGGTTCGATCGAAGCTTTCTCTCTCATCTGGTTCGTTTGTTCACGATCGATTTTTCACCTCTCATCTGGTTCGATTTCCAGCTTACGAGGTCTCTGTGTGGCAAAAGAGGACTCGACATATGCTACTTGGGATGTTGAAAACTCCATGGTCATGACATGGTTAGTGAATTCTATGGAAGAAGACATCAGCTCCAACTATATATGTTATCCAACAGCCAAAGAACTCTGGGATAATATCACCCAGATGTATTCGAATTTGGGAAATCTATCACGACCCTATTCCGCCCCTAGTAGAATGGTGTCGTGATGGCCAGTAATCCGAGGTTACCAAAGGCCGACTTACAAAGTCACACACAATCAAAGTATACAAATGGGACTTACATGTGCAGAAGTAAATTTAAATCTAAGTAGTCCATAAGAGCTGTGCATAGATCAAATGAAATGTCATACATCTTAACATGGTTTTACAACTTGGATACAAATAAAATAAAGTACATGTTACATCTTGGATCAAAAGGCTTCTCAAGCCGAAATATACAAAAGAAATGAATTACAAACTAAGAAGCATAATCTTCAAGATGATGCAAAACATGAATCAAAACATCTTGCACATAACATCTTAGGCGTCACCGCCTTCTTGCTCGTCACCTACATATATATAAAAGGGAGGGCGAGCTTGGATACTCAGTGAATGATATAATTAATAAAGGTTTGAATGAATGATATCCGAGATCTTTATCAAAACAATATATATTATAACTTGTAACAAAACATGGGATGAATCAAGTTTATCAATCAAAGTCTTTCAAAGCTTCTTGGGATGTTTAGACAAACTCAAGGATAACATTCCTGACAAAACGAAGGAATAACCAACTCGGAATCGATTAGACAAACTCACTCGTACAAGACCGTCGGTGGTACCATTCGTACATGACCGTCGATGGCAGAGATATCTCAAACAAATGTGCTACTTAGGCTTAACGTCCTCTAGCACGAAAGGACCTTCCAAGAATGTCATCAAAACAAATATAATACTTGATACAAAACTGGTGGATAATCATTCATTCTTGATCAAATACTTTTCCAAAACAAAGCAAAGCAAAGCTTTATCAAAACATTATAACATAGCTTTATTAAAAATACCACTCACAATAATTCTTCGGGTATAGGGATTAAGGCAAGGATCCAAGACCTACAAATACATGGCAAAAATCCACAGAATGCATTTCCAAAAGACATGAATAGATGCTCAAAGATGGGTATGAAATGCACTCTCAAAACAAGCCTTACATGAGGGTAAAGATCCCGACATTTCTTTCCAAAACCAAGTCAAGACAAAGCAAAACATGTGCTGGGAGTTAAAACACTGTTTTTCTTCTAGAGAAAACATGCTGGGTACCAACTAGGTCTCGGAATGGATACACAGAGATGATCTAGGCTAAAATGGCCTAGTTGGGTGAACTCAGGGAGTCTTGGCCGAGGTCCCACACCTCTTGGCTGAGGTGTGGTCTCCTAGGCCTAGGTGTGTGGCTGCCTGCCGAGATGTTACAAGGTGCCGACAAGGGTGTACCATGGTCGGCCTAGGTGTGTGGCGGTTAGCCTAGGTGTGTGGTGGTTGGCCTAAGTGCAAGTGATCATGCAAGGTAGGCCAAGGTGGGATACGATGCTTGGCCTAGGTATGAGGTCTA